GTATTGGAATTTAAGGTCCTGTAGATGTAGACTGCACAGTAGTAAGTGTGGATGTTCTGAACAGGGAGTAAGTTTAGATCTATGAAGAGTGAGGAGGTGTGTTGCCAGGGATGGGATTTAGTGATTATTCTTACTGCGGCTTTTTGTTGGGTTATTATTGGCTTTAGGTGCGTTGCTGCAGTTGATCCCCAAGCACAAACAGCATAGGTGAGGTATGGATAAATGGGTGAATGGTAGATTAGATTTTGCCACCGAAGTGGCTAGTTTATTGTGCACCCCATATCCATCCTGTGGACGGTAGCGCGAGAGCATGTGGATACACAAAAGGCCTAGGAACTAGGCCCCAAAGGGTTAACAGGAATACATATGGATTTATATCTACATATCTATAGTTCACTTATCTGTTACAAGCAAATTAAGGAAATTTGCTTAGTATATCTGGTATCTTATTTTCATTAATAAGATATCTTGACATGTCACATAGGTTATTATACTGTCTGTCTCTGTATTCCTCAATAAGTGAACAATTAAGCACATAGTGTTCAAGAGAGTGACCATATGCCTGATCACATAATTTACATTTAGTTTGATCATCTGTGTGTCTCCCAAACTGCCAGAAGTACTTGTAACCAAGCCTAAGCCTGGCCACTACAACATCAGTCAGTCTGTTCACATTGCAAGTTGCTCCATAAACATACTTATCTACGTTCATGTTATCATAGTGGGTTATAGATCTACTCAGGTTTCTAACTGCATTCCTATAACAATCATCTTCATTATTTACTTCTCTCCTAATATTATTCCTAATGCTAGACACAGTTATACCAAAGTTATATTCTACGTTCTCCTTCTGGATACTCTTCTTGGCTAACATATCAACTTTATCATGAAGGAGTAATCCAATGTGTGATGGGATCCATAGCAATTGTACATTAATTCCTTTGTCCCTAATTTTTGAGTATCTATACCTGGCTTCCCCAATGAGCATGTGTTGGAGTCATTATATGAGCCAAGAGCCTTCAATGATGACATAGAATCAGTAAATGATGATAGAGTCAAGCTCAGTGTCATAGGTTAGCTTTAGCGCCATTAGGATTGCAAAACAATTCAGTTTGCAGTGTAGACGCCCAGTTGTTAATTTCTTATGCCTAACTCAACAAATTTATTATCGTTCTTAACTAGGGAGGTGGCAACAAGAGCAGATGCAGCCCTGCCAGAAGACTCCTGTTTAGATCCATCAGTGTATATAACTTGTGATAACTATTATTACTACCAGCTAGGCGAAAAAATTTCTTCTTGAGCAGTTGCTCTAACAAGAGTTTTAAAGGGAAAGGGTTTACTAGCAATGAGCTTCTTGGGAGGGACTTGTAGGTATGTGATATTAAATGAACACATTTCCATGGAGGGGTGAAATGCTCTTGATGCCTACAGGGGATACAGTTCATGCAGGTTATAAAACTTATGCATTGCACGTTTTCACAATCCATTTAGATCTGTGTGTATTTCCCTCTAGACACTTGGTAAGATTCACTGTGACAGTGTCTGGTTCGTTTCTCACATTCTAATACCGAGTACAGTGTTAATTTAAACAATCCTATCAACTGATACTAGAATCCCAAGCTCCTTCCTAATGTTAAAAAACTTTTGTAGATCTGGGACACCCAAAAGAATAGTCCTGAGAGCTTCATTTTGCTTTTAACTCCAAGGGTCGGAGGGAACTTTCTCTAGCTAATATCAACATGGGAGCAGCATAATCAATTAAGGACCTAAATAGGCTATGTACATCTTTCCCTCACGTTTTCTCACATTAGCACCATAGTTGGGATTGTAGCCAGCAACAGCTTTGAGAGCTTTTTAGCCTAGCTTTACATTCTTGTTTAGTTTGTGGTATAGTGGATTTGTTAAAGGGTACATCTAAAACCAAGATATCTGTAAGTTTTAAACGTAGCTAATGATTTACCCTGCAAATAGATGGGTGGGGGATGTCGTTTGCTTGTTAATATCTTTGTTTTAGAGGAAGATATTATGAGGCCTAGTCGATTACAAATTGCTTAAAACTTCATTAAGAATGGTATTCATCTTCTTATGCCCTGTTGTATGGATCATGATATCATCAGCATAGCTTATAGCTATATGTTTAGGTGAGGCAGGTAGAGCATTTAGGAGAGCATTAATCAGAATATTAAATAGCATGGGACTAAGAACTCCTCCCTGCGGTGTACCTAAAGACATTTCTTTAGAATCACTTCTGAAGCCTTGGTAAAGGACAGAGGATACTCTATTTGACAGGTATCCTATTATCCAGCAGAGTAAGCTACCAGCAATATTCATTTTATGGTGTGAAAAGGGCATTTTTCGGCACGTAGTATCGTATCTTGGAGAGGATCCCAACTGTTTTGGATACTTTTTTGTTATGTGTTGGATATGGGTGCTGAAATTCAGGTTGTTGTCGAGGTATAGGCCTAGGAATTTGACCTCATTATGTCTGGCAATTAGAGAGCTGTCGATCTTAATGTTAAGTTTCGCAACACCTGCTCTGGGTGGTAGTCACGCCCATACTCATCCTGTGGGTAGTAGTTACCCCATACTCATCCTGTGGGTGGTAGACACCCCATACTCATCCTGTGGGTGGTAGTCACCTCATACTCATCCTGTGGGTGGTAGTCACCCCAATACTCATCCTGTGGGGTGGTAGTCACCTCATACTCATCCTGTGGGTGGTAGTCACCCCATACTCATCCTGTGGGTGGTAGTCACCCCATACTCATCCTGTGGGTGGTAGTCACCCCATACTCATCCTGTGGGTGGGTAGTCACCCCATACTCATCCTGTGGGTGGTAGTCCACCCCATACTCATCCTGTGGGGGTAGTCACCCATTTCTCATCCTGTGGGTGGTAGTCACCATACCATCTGTGGGTGGTAGTTTACCCCATACTCATCCTGTGGGTAGTAGTTACCCCATACTCATCCTGTGGGTGGTAGAACCCCATACTCATCCTGTGGGTGGTAGTACCTCATAAATCATCCTGTGGGTGGTAGTCAAACCCCTAATCATCCTGTGGGTGGTAGTCACCCCCTACTCATCCTGGGGTGGTAGTCACCCCATACTCATCCTGTGGGTGGTAGTCACCCCATACTCATCCTGTGGGTGGTAGTCACCCCATACTCATCCTGTGGGTAGTAGTCACCCCATACTCATCCTGTGGGTGGTAGACACCCCATACTCATCCTGTGGGTGGTAGTCACCTCATACTCATCCTGTGGGTGGTAGTCACCCAATACTCATCCTGTGGGTGGTAGTCACCCCATACTCATCCTGTGGGTGGTAGTCACCCCATACTCATCCTGTGGGTGGTAGTCATCCCATACTCATCCTGTGGGTAGTAGTTACCCCATACTCATCCTGTGGGTGGTAGACACCCCATACTCATCCTGTGGGTGGTAGTCACCTCATACTCATCCTGTGGGTGGTAGTCACCCCATACTCATCCTGTGGGTGGTAGTCACCCCATACTCATCCTGTGGGTGGTAGTCACCCCATACTCATCCTGTGGGTGGTAGTCACCCCATACTCATCCTGTGGGTGGTAGTCACCCCATACTCATCCTGTGGGTGGTAGTCACCCCTTACTCATCCTGTGGGTGGTAGTCACCCCATACTCATCCTGTGGGTGGTAGTCACCCATACTCATCCTGTGGTGGTAGTCACCTCATACTCATCCTGTGGGTGGTAGTCACCCCATACTCATCCTGTGGGTGGTAGTCAACCCCATACTCATCCTGTGGGTGGTAGTCACCCCATACTCATCCTGTGGGTGGTAGTCACGCCCATACTCATCCTGTGGGTGGTAGTCACCCATACTCATCCTGTGGGTGGTAGTCACCCCATACTCATCCTGTGGGTGGTAGTCACCCCATACTCATCCTGTGGGTGGTAGTCACCCCATACTCATCCTGTGGGTGGTAGTCACCCCATACTCATCCTGTGGGTGGTAGTCACCCCATACTCATCCTGTGGGTGGTAGACACCCCATACTCATCCTGTGGGTGGTAGTCACCCCATACTCATCCTGTGGGTGGTAGACATACTCATCCTGTGGGTGGTAGTCACCCCATACTCATCCTGTGGGTGGTAGACACCCCATACTCATCCTGTGGGTGGTAGTCACCCCATACTCATCCTGTGGGTGGTAGACACCACCCCCATACTCATGCAGTAGATGTAGTCACATCATACCCACATTATGGGCGACAGTCTAGAAGTTATAGAAGCAACATAATGGGTCCAGGAACTGGGTCTCGGGTTCCTTTGCTCTAAGAAATTCTTTTTATTAGTAATGAGCTGTTGACTAGATTTAGGAATTCACTTACAATAGCATTAAGGAGATTACGCAGTTAGTGAAATTAATAGCATGAACTTACACAGAAGGGCGGCGGGGGCGTCGACCCCCAAAACACCCTCCAAGTGTAGTCCAGGTAAGGCTATCCATTATATTACAAATTATTATTATTATAATCAAAAAGAAGCGCTAAACCACAAGGGCTATACAGCATTTATATTACAAAGGTGTTCTTATATCACAAAGGAAAGGTTATGGAGACAGAAATTATTGGGACTGTATATATATATATATATCTGTAAGCGAAGGAGCATATTTATACAAACATTTACAATGTAATTTCAATCAGTGGTTGGTTGGTTAATGGAGTTTAAAGCCTGGCGATTATTGTTGATTATTGTTGCACAAAGTTTATTATTATTGATTATTGGCTAATTAAGGCTGTATATACCAGACAAGAACACTAATACCTGAAACAGGGATTAAGTAAACTCTTAGCACATATAAACAGAGAGAAATACACCTCTGAGTGTATATATCCTGTGACAAGCAGTGTATGTGTGTGGTAATACTGTTGTGGTGTAACAAGCATCAGCACCTCTTACCGTCACACACAGTAAAGAATTCACTATTAAATGTAACTGAATCAAACACACAACAATTTCTTTTTATTTTATTGCAAAACAATGATGAATTACTTAAAGTGATGCACAGGCTTCAAAATAATACGTAGAAAGGTGTCGATTTCCCTGAGTGCCTCGTCTCACATTCACATAGCAGGACTTACACCCTCAACATAAACTCAATATCCCTTCATTAAAAAAAAGAAGACATGGGTGCTGATCAAGCTTTTATTGTGACAACGACGCTTCGCTCTACGTAGAGCTTAATCTAGTCATTTAAAGCTTGCTCTGCATCTCTGTCTTCGTTACTGTTGGTAGTACATATCTGTACTGACCATTTGTGGCTTCATCCTGTCCTCACATACCCCAATTGAAGGCAGCGAGCACACTGACACGGTTTCCAGGGCAGACCTTCAACTAGACTTGGTTTAGATGCAACTAAAATATTATTTCAACTTACTAGGGAACCTAGCTTTATTCTAAATGAAGGAAGATTTATTCAATTCACCTTTCCCACTCTGCTGTACCCTCCGAGTACCGCATTTTCAACATAACTCGCTGAGTACTCCTATATCTTCCACCGACTACCAATCTACCCTCTCCCCCACCACAGACTGCTACTCCACTTCGCTGGTTTTAAGATATTTATTCAGTTTAGCAATATATTAATAATTTTTTATCTTAAATCACAAATCGGACCTTTTCAGGTCAAAGGAAAAGTCGGGACCTCTTTTCCAGGAGTAAGGAACTCTGTAGGTCGGTGCAGAGGCAGGGACCTCCTCTGCAGGTCAGTGCAGGGGCAGGAACATCGTCTTCATGCTCTGTATGGTGAATTGTTGCCACCACACTCTGTTATACATTATTGACTCCACACTTAGTAGTACCTCGTCGCTCCAGCATGTCTCCACGAGTTTCATAGGATGTTAACACAGGAACCACAACACCTACATGCAGCAGTATGTGGTGCTATCTAGTGTATCGTCCAGCATGCGTTAAACACAACGGACAATTTATAGCTTGTCCACCAACACAAAGTAATGTCTCGAGTGTGTTAGACTGTACTTGACCTAAGACAGAAAGGGGTGAGATCACTTCATAGCATTATATATTGGGTCCAGCTTTTGTGCCGCAAGGGTCTCCGCTTCCTCGAAGATGACTTCCTCGTTGGTACAAGGGTCGGGTGGCACGTGAACATAAACTTTTGGTTCGGTATAAGGAGAGAGACAGGTGTCTACGTCGTGCTGCTTTCTCAAGCCGAGGGTGGAGAGGCGGGGCTGCTCTAAACGGGGTGTAAGTGATGGTGAGGCAAGGTACATTGAATTCAGTCTGTGTGCCGCCATATTCTCCACCTCCTCGTACACAATATTTTCCTGAGTGCACGAGTGGGCTGGCACGTGAATGTAAATGTTGGGTTCGGTGATTGACGTAATACAGATTTCGGGGTCCTGTCGCATCGGTGTGAAAGATGCGAACGATGATGAGGTCAATCCAGAGTCTTGTCGACTGAGCTCCGGTCGTTCTAACATGTCTGTAGCATGGACCTCGTTGTCATCTTGTCTGTCCTGAGGTATCAGGTCCGCCAGTGTTAATATAGATGGCTGGCATTTACTCATAACACGCTTCCGCCACATGATGGCAGTGCCAATAACTAATCCAGCAAACACACCCGAAACAGTCATAATCACTACCCAGTACCATGTGAAACCCAGGAATTTGTCTGAAACTGCGTCTTTATTTGACATCACTGAAAGTAACGGATAGAGAACTTTCAGAGAGCTTTTGCTGGCTAAGTCGAGGTTGGTGATGGTGGTGTCCTCAAGTGTAAAGTTGTAGATTAAAACTCTTGCTGTGCCACGGAGAACAAGGCAGGTCTGTGGGCCACGAAGGACGTGGATGTTCTTCAGTGTAAGAACTCCATCAGTACCCACAGTGATTGCTTCCGAGATCATCTTGTTCACTCTCAGGTGGTTCACGGACACTCGCCCATTCAAAACATTCATTGATCCATTTTCTATCAGGTTTACTGTCACGTCGCTCAAGTTGTAGGGTATTCCATTACCATTAGCTCCTCCACTAGCGGTCTGATGAACTAGTCCAGGTGAGGCTAAACGTTCTATTTTAACACGGTGAAGTTGTAATTTTTTATCCACTTCCAGCTTGGATACAATTCCCATTGTCGTGTCTTCAATAAACGCTTCGTGTCCGGTGACAATAAAGTTGGATATATTCGATTTACGAACACTCAGTGTACCAAAATGACCAATCACGTTGTCCACTTCGCATAAATCGAGAGTGGCCACATTAAACTCGCCACTAAGCCACTTTAGTTTGGACTGAACCACCGACAAGCTCCTTGAACACTGCTCTGTCTTGTCCTCAACACTGACACCACGTGAAACATTCTCCCTGCCTAATAACTTGTCAGTGTGAGGAAGCGATGCTGTGACTTGTGATGCACTCTTACGATGTGGATCACTTCTATCGTCTGCCTCACCTACACTGAATGCCTTGCCCTGGCGAGGTCCATTAATTATATTACGAGTGTGGCCTGTAGCTTTTTCTTGAAGTGTGACATTGTTGCAGGACGAGATAGTGAGGGTTGTGCCACAGGGCTGGACCCCGTGGAGAGAGGTTGCTGCTGTCAAGTTAATCTCTTTCACCCCGTCCCACAAGGTCGTCAAATTCACGCCCTGAAACGAGGAAACGCGAGCTTAATGATGGCTGATAAGTAATGCTGGAATATCTTACCTTTATGATAAAAATCCTGAAGCCATTAGAGCTAATATTCCTTTTCTCGGAGCAAACCTGATTACTTCCCATTCTCCAGAAGCTATATGATCCGTACAGGTTTATTGCTTTCCAATAAATATCCTTCCTTCAACTACCCTTATAACTATTATTTATTCTTGCAACTATCCTATGATAAGGTTTAAAAAAAAATAGACCGCAAGTGATTACAAAGAAATGCCATAATAAAAGTAAATCACTAAAAATCAAGATAAGAAATCCATGGAGGAAGAACATCAGTAAAGCAGCACAGCTCCTGCACTTGACCTAACTCGTGCACCTCCTGGAAGTAATGAAGTTTGAACCACTGAAGAGAAGGGGACCTTTAATTCCTTTACCAGGATCTCAAATATTTGTCCAACATATTTAAAGCTGTGTTCCTCCATTCCCATGTTCTTATGTTATCTAAGCTCCCTCCTTGAATGTACAGTGTAGGCAGAGGCGGATTTACTATAAAACTAATGAAGCTTAAGCTTCAGGGCCCCTAATCCCAGAGGGGCTCCAGAAGCAACTTTTTGTCTACACTTGGAAAATTTTGGGTCTATTGTACGAGAAGGGGTTACGAAGGGGCCCCCATTACAGTTCAAGCTTAAGGGCCCAAATGTGTAGGTCCGCCACTGAGTATGTGTACTTGAAACAAAATCTATCGTGAACAGATCTTACCTCGCTAGTGTTCTTAAAGTCACAATACAGAGTCTGGTTTGTTTGTGAGCAGAATTGTGTCTTGTGATTACGGGCGAGGACCATGGCGCTCAGCCCCGCCACTATCACCCCCACTACACACAGCACCTGCCTCATGAACACTACTGAATGCATTATATATGAAACAGAAGTGTAAGAACTCAGCAAGTGTCCCTCAGTACTGCTGTGTCGTTGGTGGCAGCTGTGTCACTACAGTACTGGAAGCTGAGGCCGTCACAACGGATGTATCCTGAGTCACCAGTTACCATTATTACATTCATGAAACAATTGCTAAATCTGTAAGGGTCATTCTGTGCTTGGAGAATGGGAGACAATAAGGTTTGATCCCAGGAAGGAAAGGTAAGCATAGGTTCCTCGGATTAAGGTCTTCAGCAGCGCCGCGCCATCCTTCTTGAAGGACAAGTAACCAGAAAATATAACCTTTATCTCTTATCTCTCCGCATACCTTCCACACCCACACATACTCCCTATTTTTACAATCTCAAATGTCAAAAGTGAGTATTTAAAACACACTTTTTTCAATACAGAGATGATGTTGAGATACACAAATAACCCGCACATAAAAGAGAGAAGCTTACGACGACGTTTCGGTCCGACTGGGACCGTTCCAGTCACGGTATTGTGCCTTTTTGTTATTTATGCATGTTGAGTATTGTATGAGGGTAGTGTGTGTGTGTGGGGCATGAAGACGCCGCGGTACTCATGTCATCACAGCAGCAGCGGATGTTTGGGGTTTTGCCCGATGTTTATAATGACGCACAGGATAATGATGATGACATTCACCTCCGCTGATTCAGCCTTCGTCGTGCCATACACAGTGTCCTCTATGTACACAGTATTAGGCAAGAAAAAGGTTTGATTCTGACAATTTCTTTGCCAGAACACTACACAGCCATAACACAACCCGGAAATAAAAACTAAACGACATTTAGATAATATAGTTGTGTATTAAATAATACACAACTGTACTGTCGTATAGTTGTGTATTAGATAAATCCTTGGAAGAATAACTTACTCTCAGTCTCCTCGCATATAACAAAGTATTTATTTTTTTTAACACACGAGGTAGGGTGTCCTGAAAAAGAAGACGCACTTTCACAATTATTCACTTTATCACTATTTTGCCAGAGGCGCGCCGATACTACAGTTCAGATATATGTAGATTTTGCCACCGAAGTTGCTAGTTTATTGTGCACCCCATATCCATCCTGTGGACGGTAGCGCAAGAGCATATGGATACACAAAAGGCCTAGGAATTAGGCCCCATTATTATTATAATCAAGGGGGAAGCGCTAAACCCGGAGGATTATACAGCGCCTGGGGGGGATGTGGAAGGCATTCAGGCTTAATTCGGGGAACTGGAGCACAGATCTAATTCCCTAAATCAAGAGCCCCTCACCAACATCAAGGAACCTTCCTTGAGGGGAGGAATTAGGCCCCAAAAGGGGTTAACAGGAATACATATGGGTTTATATCTACATATCTACAGTTCACTTATCTGTTACAAGCAAATTTAGGAAATTTGCTTAGTATATCTGGTATCTTATTTTCATTAATAAGATATCTTGATATGTTACATAGGTTATTATACTGTCTATCTCTGTATTCCTCAGTAAGTGGACAATTAACCACATTGTTCTCAAGACAGTGACCTGATCACATAATTTACATTTAGTTTATCATCATCTGTGTGTCTCCCAAACTGCCAGAAGTACTCGTAACCAAGCCTAAGCCTGGCCACTATAACATCAGTCAGTCTGTTCACATTGCAAGTTGCTCCATAAACATACTTATCTACGTTCATGTTATCATAGTGAAGGGACAAGCAAGGAAGGCCCTACATGAAGGGGCAGCAAGGAGGACCCTACATGAAGGGACAAGCAAGGAGGACCCTACATGAAGGGACAAGCAAGGAGGACCCTACATGAAGGGACAAGCAAGGATGACCCTATATGAAGGGACAAGCAAGGAGGACCCTATATGAAGGGACAAGCAAGGAGGACCCTATATGAAGGGACAAGCAAGGAGGACCCTATATGAAGGGGCAGCAAGGAGGACCCTACATGAAGGGACAAGCAAAGAGGACCCTACATGAAGGGACAAGCAAAGAGGACCCTACATGAAGGGACAAGCAAGGAGGACCCTATATGAAGGGAAAAGCAAGGACTCTATATGAAGGGACAAGCAAGGAGGACCCTATATGAAGGGGCAGCAAGGAGGACCCTACATGAAGGGACAAGCAAGGAAGACCCTACATGAAGGGACAAGCAAGGATGACCCTATATGAAGGGACAAGCAAGGAGGACCCTATATGAAGGGACAAGCAAGGAGGACCCTACATGAAGGGGCAAGCAAGGAGGACCCTACATGAAGGGGAAAGCAAGGAGGACCCTACATGAAGGGACAAGCAAGGAGGACCCTACATGAAGGGGCAGGCAAGGAGGACCCTACATGAAGGGACAAGCAAGGAGGACCCTACATGAAGGGACAAGCAAGGAGGACCCCACATGAAGGGGCAAGCAAGGAGGACCCTGCATGAAGGGACAAGCAAGGAGGACCCTACATGAAGGGGCAATCAAGGAGGACCCTACATGAAGGGGCAATCAAGGAGGACCCTACATGAAGGGGCAAGCATGGAGGACCCTACATGAAGGGGCAAGCAAGGAGGACCCTACATGAAGGGACAAGCAAGGAGGACCCTACATGAAGGGACAAGCAAGGATCCTACACAAACATTGGGCAAAAACTGAAAATATTCAGGCCACTCAAGACGGAGAGGTTTTTTAGTGCCAGGAAGGAAAAAAAACTGGCAGGAAATGGCGGAAATCGTACACCAAATCCAGTCATTCCTGGAGCCACAGTCGATGGCCTCCACTCCAAACCAACAGATACAGATACTAATGCCGGGGAAAAAAAATAACCCCCCCAGTACCAACAATACCACCAGTCCGATGACATTCTTATTTGCAAATATACAGGGTCTAAAGCCAGCAACAAACAACAAAATACCTTTCATCCGTGGACTGCTTGCAGAGGCAAATGCAATGTTTGCGGCTTTCACAGAGACCCACATAAAGGATCACTTGGACAACGAAATATGGATCCCAGGTTACAACCTATACAGATGTGACAGAGTGAACAGGCAAAAAAAGGGGGGGGTTGGCCTGTACATCGCAGAGTCACTTGTTTACACAGAACTGCTTAATGCCTCAAATGATGTAGTGGAAGTTTTAGCAGTAAAGATCGAGAACCAAAACCTAGTCATTGTGGTAGTCTACAAGCCTCCGGATGCAACGTCCCAGGAATTCCAGGAACAGCTGTTAAAAATTGACCACGGGCTGGAAAATCTGCCAGCCCCTGCCCAACATCTTGCTCCTGGGGATTTCAACTTAAGGCACATAAAATTGAGGAATATAGCAAATAATGTTGTTGCAGTGATAACACCAGGAGGCAGCTCTGACGCAGTGATAACACCAGGAGGCAGCTCTGACGAGAACTCTCACACACACGAGCTTTTAAATCTCTGCACAAAATTCAATTTAAACCAGCAAATAATAGAGCCTACTAGACTGGAGAATACACTAGACCTTATCTTCCCTAACAATGATGATCTGATACGAAATGTCACCATATCAAAAACAATATACTCAGATCACAACATAATCGAGGTTCAGACATGTATGCGCGGAGCCCCAGACCGACATAAAGAGATTAGTCACGAGGGAGCATTCACCAAATTCAACTTCAATAACAAAAAGAAAGTGGGACCAAGTAAACCAAGTCCTAACCGATATAAGCTGGGAAGATAGACTAAGCAACACAGACCCCAACTTATGCCTAGAACAGATTAACTCGGTGGCACTCGACGTATGCACAAGGCTTATTCCTCTAAGAAAAAGGAGGAGTAGATGTAAAATAGAAAGAGACAGGTGCTCCCTTTACAGGCCAATATATCTGAAATGCGTAGGGAGACACTGGTCAGAGAAATAGCAAACGTCGAACTTAAGCTAAAGGAATCTTATAGGAGTCAGGAATCGCGGGAAGAACTAAAAGCCATAAATGAAATCGAAAGAAACCCAAAGTATTTCTTTTCCTATGCCAAATCAAAGTTGAGAACAACGTCCAGTATTGGGCCCCTACTTCAACAAGATGGATCCTACACAGATGACAGCAAGGAAATGAGTGAGCTGCTCAAGTCCCAATATGACTCAGTTTTTAGCAAACCGCTAACCAGACTGAGAGTCGAAGATCAAAATTAATTTTTATGAGAGAGCCACAGAATTTGGTTAACACAATCCTATCTGATGTTATCCTGATGCCAAATGACTTCGAACAGGCGATAAATGACATGCCCATGCACTCTGCCCTAGGGCCAGACTCATGGAACTCCGTGTTCATCAAGAACTGCAAGAAGCCCCTATCACGAGCTTTTACCATCCCAAGGAGAGGAGGGCCCGGGGGCCCCCTAAAATTTTCCGGGGGGGGAAATTGGATATTTAAATTTTTCAAGGGTCGGGAAACCCCCCCGAGCATTCTCAGGTACGGGGCGCATGCCTTTTAACACCCCCCCTTTTTTTCCAATTACCCCCCGGGGACCTTTTTGAAAATAAAAGAACTCCCCTCAGGGGAAGTTTGGGGAAAAGGGGGCCCCAAAAATTCCGAAACCTTTTCAGGGGGAAAACCCCAAAACCCCCCACTTTAAAGATTGAAAATTTAAAACCCTTCCCAAAAACCAAAAGAATGGTTTTTTTCCTTAAGTAAATAAAATTTTAAGGGCCCGACCCCAAAAATTTGGCGTTAACTGTTTTTTTGTTTTCAAGTTTTCCTTTTTTGGATAAAGTTAATTCCACAAAAGGGGTCCTTTTTGATAACGAATTCGGATTTTTGGCAAAATTTGCCGCAAAAAAAAAAAAAAGGGGTTTTAAACCCCCCTCAAGCAAGGTAAGGGGGTTCAAGGGACGGAACTTTTCAATAAATTTAAAGTGGAAACCCCGTTCCACTAAAAAAACCCCCCCTTTTTAAATTATTAGTACTGTTGTAAAAAATTTAAAAACCCCAGAAAGACCAAAACATTCATTTTTAGGGGGGCCCCCGGATTGGTTACCCTCGGATGTTTGGGGGAAAATCCGGGAAAAAGGGGATTTGGGGAAATTTGGCCCTGGGTTTCCGGGAAAGGGTTTTGGGGGGGAAAAAAAGCCCCCCCCG